GTTATTGGAAATTCAACAGCATAACAATTAGCTTGAAAGAATTCTTGAGATTCTCAGAATAATTGTATTTCATAAAATTCATTTATAAGTTTAATTTAATATGACTTTAATTTGGGGATGGGGTTATTGTTTAAAGAGCAATTTTTAAGTGTGTGTGTGAGTGTGTGTGTGTGTGTGTGTGTGTGTGTGTGTGTGAATACTTCTGGATTCCCTGAGTCTGTAGTTAATAATGTATTTGTAAGTGTTCCAACCTGAGTGCTTGGAACCAAACCAACAGGCTGGGAAGCTGACTAAGGTGCTTAATTGCTTTTCTGTACAAGGGAAGGGTGGGCAGGACAGGAGGGTAGCTGGAACTCACTGGCCAGCCTAGTGGATCCATGAGCTTCAGATTCAGTGAGAAACCCTCCCAAAAAGCACAGTGGGGTGTGACTGACATCAAACTCTGGTCTCCATGTGTGTTGCACACACACACATACACACACACACACACACACACATTATGCATTCTATGGCCATACTTATATATATAATCTAGTTATTTTATAACTTCTGTTGTGACATTTGGCAAAGCACAGTTGTTGGCTTTCAGAAAAACTAGCTAAAAAGCAAGGGCTGGCACTATTCCCAGATCCTGAGTAAAGCTACATGGTGTGATAAACTAAGGAAGACCCTCTAGACCAGTGGTTCTCACAGTCCTACTGCTGTGAACCTTTAATACAGTTCCTCATGTTATGGTGACCCCTTACCATAAAATTATTTTTGTTGCTACTTCATAACTGTAATTCTGCTGACATTCAAATCATAATGTAAATATATGATTTACAGGATATCTGATACGCAACTCCATTTAAGGGCCATTTGTCCCCTAAATGGATCACAACCCACAGATTGAAAAACCACTGTCCTAAAAGCTTCAGCAATATATTAAATCTATCCATCCATCCTCCCTTCCATCCATCCATCCATCCATCCATCCATTCATCCACCATCCATCCATCCATCCATCCATCCATCCATTATTTTAAAGAATATTTATTGTGTTTCTGCAGCCTGGAAGGCTCTGTTGGAAATTATCTGAATTTTTAAAGATTATTTTGGCTGCTGGTAGAGGATGACCTAGAGGAGAATTGAGGCAGGGGAACAAACTAGTGGTGTGTGGGTGAACCCCAGGCAAGAGACAAAGGTGCCCTGGACTAACATGGACTGAAATATTCAAAAGTGTATACTGTGACTAGAAATGGAAGAAATCATATATATATATATATATATATATATATATATATATATATATATAGAGAGAGAGAGAGAGAGAGAGAGAGAGAGAGAGATGAATCAAGAATGGCTGTCAGAGCTTTCCTATGAATGACAGGATACAAGCTGTCACCATCTCCTGACATGGAAGTTTAGTAGGAGAAATAGCTTGCCTCTTGGGGCAGATGCAGAGCACTATCTGATTTAGTAATCTCATCTTTGTGCTTCCTACATAGCCAGGCAGAGAGATTGATTTGGGTCTTGTTACTGTGAGTTTAATTTACAAAGAAGAGTCAGGATTAGAAATACAGTCTGGGAAGTCACCAGCATCTAGACAGTATTTGTAGCCACAGAACTGAATAAGAATCTCGCTTCTGAGACTTAAAGCATATGGGAAATTAACATAAAGACAAAAATAGGGCAGGAAAGGAGAGAGAGGCACAGAGTTTTTGCTAGTGTGAGTTTGTGCCACGCTCATAGTATGTAGTAGGTACTGTGGAAGTACCAATTTAAGTTAGCTTCTACTGATTCAGAAACACAGTCACAAAGTTCATGGTTACTACTGACTGAGTGGGTTAGATGATTGGAAAACTAATTGCAGTTTGATGCTTTTACTATTTTAGTAATTACACTAAATAAGAATTGTCTAAATCCTCAAGCTGGGCGATAAAACTCAAGCTGGATTAGTGTACGTGCACACTCACATACCTAAACACATCCCACTTCATATATTTTAGGTCACAGAAAGTGCGGTAGAGAAAAGAATTGGCAAATGTCTTACATGTGATATTTACTACAGAAAAATTCATATGCCTATCCCAGTGCCAAATGGCACTATCATTTGTCATTACCAAAAACAAAGCAGTTTTTCCATAAAAATTAGACAGCCAATGCAGCAGGGAACTGTAACTCTACTAAATTCATATGAAGAAAAAGTATCAAACAATGAAAAACACAAGCTGTCAGAGTTAAAAGGAGACACATTTAATTAGAAATTTAAACACTAATGAAGCCACAAGGAAAGTCAGTACAGAGCTAATGGCTTGAGCAGTGCTAAGTGTGACCTAAGTAATGTATACAGAAAACTTTGACAAGTGCACACTCTTTCCAACTGGAATGTCCTAAAAAGAAGACACCCTAAAAATTATGATCTAGAAAGCCAACTCAACACATATCACAGAATTTTAATTATGCTGAACATGTTCTCTGACTACAGTGAAACCAAGCTTAAAAAGTTATATTATGTATATATACATATATACATATATATATATATACACATACAAATACACAGACACACACACACATATGTTCAACCAAGACCTCGCAATAGAAATAAAGAATTTTTAAAACTTTTCCATAACATAATATATCAAAATTTGCAGTAGCTAACTTGGTGTTTAGAGGCTTTCGCTGATCTTTTGTTTGGTTTGGTTTGGTTTGGTTTTTCAAGACAGTGTTTCTCTATGTAGCCCTGGCTGCCCTCTGCCTCTCGAGTGCAGGGATTAAAGTCCTATGTCACCACAGCCCAGACAATGGTGTCTTCTTAAACACCCATGTTCTGAAAGAAGAAAAGCTCAAGAAATGTAGTCCATGCATCATCTATCTCAAGAAAATCCTGACTTCAAGAACTCAACAGAGAAGACAAATTATTAAACACAAAAATTTTCTAAATTAAACAAATGCACCACAGAAACCCTCAGTCAAAGCAAAGTTGAGTTTTGAGGTAACTGATAATTCTATAACCCACTTGGTAGGTAGACTACAATAATGATGATGATGATGATGATGATAGTAATAATACAGACAAAATGGGAAGGAAAAGCCTTGCTGATACTAGGGAATGGAAAAAGGAACATGACACAGAAATACCAGGAATTTGATATACTTAGAAACTAGTGAAAGGGTAGAGTAGGTGACACGGACAAATACCTTGAGAACTAAGTAACTGACACAGGAGATAGTAGAAGACTGAGTAGTCTCCAGGAAGGCTTTGAAAATTTGAGGATATTGTATGTAAAGCACCAGGGTTGAGATTTGTCTTTTGTTGGCTCCTGATGAATGACTATTCATGTCATTGGATCAATACAGAGAAGGCAACAAAGCCCCAAGAATCCCTAATTCTAGTCAACATTAACTTTCAGTTTGTCACAGCCTAGAGTCATCTGAGAGGCACGAGTCCATTGAGGAATTGTCTGTGGGCATATATGTGAGGGATTGATGTACGTGGTCTCAGCACACTATGGGCAGTAGCATTCTCTGGGAAAATGGTCTGGGAGTAGCTGAACTTGAGCATGAGTGAGCCAGCTCACACACTAAGCCACCAAGCAGCATGGTCCCTGCCTCCAGGCTCCTGCCTTGAGTTCCTACCCTGTCTTCCTGTATTGATGGAGTGTGAGCTGAATGTGTAAACCAAATCACCCTTCGCTAAGCTGATTTGACCATGGTGTTTATCACATCAGTTGATGAACTAGGGCACCCAATAAGGAAATGACAATCACACCTGATCAAGACTGCTGGGGTCTTTTTGTAAATTCCCAGGTGTAGTTGTCATGTGAAATACCGAGGTTGGGACAGAGCTCCTGGCACAGGCTAGATCTTGAGAAGCAGCTGTACCACAGGCAAAACATTGACCATGGTCCTTGTCCTTAAGAATGTCACACCAACATGAAGATACATTGGAAACCACACCACCAAGCTGATAGCAACTGGGATGTATAAGGATGTATAACATCATGTTGGAGGCCCAGCATTAAAACTTTCCAACTTTACCTTATAAAATTTGTTATCAAGTAATAGCTGTACACCTACCCTTGCTCATGCTTGACCTCACTAATTTTTATGATGTTTCACAGGTACCTTTTCTTGAATTTAAAATGTATGAAATGAAGCTGAGGGACTATCAGTGGGGAACTCTTATCTGGCATGAGCAAGGCCCAGAGAGTTCTCTATTGGCAGCACAATTAATTAATTACATTCTGCATAACAAACAAATAACTTTTATACAGATACACTTTACAATTATAATTATTTTTCATTGCAAAAATATGAATAGCTACAATTTTTAAATGGGACCAGAATAAGAAAAATGGAGAAAATGTAAGATAGAAAAAAATAGAATCAAGATTTTAAAAACATTTGGTTGACTTGTCTTGCCATCACCACCTTTCCTGATGCCCCACTCCATTCTGCTTTAAGCCTTCGCAGGCTAAGGATCCCCCTTCTGTTGATCTTTCTCTTCCATTTCTCCACCACTTATTTGCTCTTCTTAGTGGTGCCCAGGGTTTCTGAGTGAGTAGGGGTCATCTCAAATATGGTCTGTCCCTGCAGGCCTGTGTGGCAATGGACAGGTGTTCATCTGAGGCTCGGTCCCTGTCCAGACCCCCTGGTATCAGTCTGGTAGTTGTCTCAAGCTTTTTCCTCTCCTGGCCTGCCTGAGTGGCCATGTCTCAAATCCAAGGTGGGGTCTCCACTAATCTCTGGCTTGTTTCCTGTCCTGGGAGTGCATCTGGGCCTGCCTGACACTGGTCTGGTGGTTACCTCAGAGTTACCCCTTTCTTGGCTATCTTGAGTAGCCATCTGTCCTAAGTTCAAGGTGGGGTTCTTCTAGTCTCTGGCTTGCTTCAAGTCCTAGGAGCTCACCTGGGCCTGCCTTGCACTGAACTGGTGATTATCTCAGACTGGGTCCCTGTCCAAGTCCCCTAGACCCAGACAGATGGTGGTCTTAGGCTTGTTTGTTTTTCTCAGGGAATGTTAGGCTACTGATCATTCAGATGTTCATAGGTGAGAACACTATGCAGACATAGCCTTCTCCTCTCTGCCACCTACTGATGCACACGTGACACAGCAGCCACATCCACAACATCTATAGGGCAGGGGGTATTATTTTTAAAAATCAATGAAATAATGTTATCAATGGCTCTTATATTTAAAAAGATTTAAAAATGGGCTGCTGAGATGTCTCAGCAAGTAATGGTGCTTGCTCCCAAAGCTGGTGACCCTTGATCCTTGGGAGCCACATGATACAATGGAGGGAAGAACTAACACCTGAAAACTGTCCTGTGACCTGCACACACTTGCCATGGTGCACATGCATTCCATCTTAAACACACAAAATAAGTAAATCACTGCAATAAAAAAATTTAAATCAAAATGAAGATAAAAGCCAATAAGAGTTTTTGTGTGTGTGGCTGATGTGAATGTACTTGATTTGGATAATTTAACTTCTGGGGCTTTGTTTCCTTCTACATAAAAGTATATGCATATGTGTGTGCATGCATGCACATATATGTGTGTATGTAAGTGTGCATGTATGTACAAATGTATGTGTGTGATATGTATATAAATAAACTGATATAAAGCAATTTCTTTTAAATTTCCTTAAGACCCTCATAACTAGCCCGGAAATAAATAATGGAGTATCAGCAGGATTTGAGGCAGGCGTAGATGCTGCTCTGAGTAACTGGTGGGCATGAAGGCTGGAGAAACCTCTACCTACACCAGCTTGAGCACATGTCCAGCCAGTGGCTCCTTGGATCTGCCAAATGTCTTGAATTATTTTTTGTCCTGCAGAGATGGTTTCCAGGCAGCTAAATCACCATAGTTGACAGAGCAGCAGATTCTAGCAAATCACCTTATCTGTCACATAGCTCGTTGAAATAACTGTGCTGTCAGGTCTGGGATGCTGCCTAGAAGATGCGCTCCAATGAGAGCTGTAAAAGTTCTGCTGTCGCTTGGAAATGACATGTGCTACAAGAAAAGAACGTTGTGTTCGGATGTTTTGCTTCTGCTGTTTAAGTTTTAGGTTCTTGAGTTGAAAGAAAATTTAGAGACTTTCTGAGATCTTTATAACTCATGGAGACTCTTAAAAGGTAGTGTTTGTCTTTATTTTTCTTTTTTTTCCCCTGATCTGATTGAGTACTCGGTTACCACACTGAAAAAAAATAACTAATACATGACTTAGAGTTTTATGGCTTAAAGGTGTCTCATAAAAAGAATGCATTTAATTAGGGCTGGCATACAGTTTCAGAGGTTCAGTCCATTATTATCATGGAAGAAAGCATGGCAGTGTGTAGGCAGATATGATGCTGGACGAGCTGAGAGTTCTACATTGTAATCTGAAGGCAGCCAGAAGGAGACTGGAATTCCATACTGGGTGTAGCTTAAGCATAGGAAATCTCAAAGCCCATCTCCCACAGTGACACACTTCCTCCAACAAGGCCACACCTCCTCATAGTACCATTCCCTGCAAGCCAAGCATTCAAACACATGATTCTATGAGGCCAAATCTATTCAAACCACCATATAATGTGGATAACATTACCCAACTAATGTTTTTGCACATGCCTGTTTTTCTCTTCTCCTGAAAGTGTCTGTGTGTTATTGGCAGATAGAGACCACAAAGAGCTTAGAATAAAGGAAAATTGGTGTGAAGAATTATTTCCCTCTGATGATTCAAAATTGACTGGGTACTATAAAAATTATGCACATTATCTTAGAAATGAGGGAAACTGAGGATAGAGTTCAGCCACACTGGAAAAGGCATGCTTGTAACCAGTGGATTTCAAAGTCCCTGGTCTGCATGGTCTATAGTGACTGGGAAACTGAAAAACAGCAACTAAGTCCTACCAAAGCATGCTAATATGCCTGAACTGTAACAGCAATGGCAGGTTCATAGGTTATGTTGCATATATTAATGTGTGGGAATCAAAGAGTCGCCTTCTTCAGATTAATGTTAGTAGAAAAAAAATGTAAGAGTCACAATGTAAGTATGACTCAAATGCTATGTAGCCTGCACTTCTAGGAAGTACTACATCAATGTCATTGCTGTTTATTTGAAATTCTAATTTAACTGGGAATTTGTTTTATTCTCCTCCATCTGGCAGTCTTGATCTGGGGTACAGGCAGAGCATAGGTGAGCCATGGTGGGTACCCAGCAAGCAAAGAAACCAAGAAAATGGGAGTTCTAGTAACAGAAGGAGACTCCAACCCAAGGTATCAATATGGGAAGGGTTTTGGGAAGCTTACCACCAGGCCAGGGGTCAAGGTTTGTGTGTGTGTGTGTGTGTGTGTGTGTGTGTGTGTGCGCGCGCGCTCCTCCTCATACCACCCTGAGCCACCTGAACACAGCAGGAGAGCCTTCCCCCTACATGGTATCGAGAGCACCTCTACTCAGAAAGCTGAAGAAGTACTCACTATTTGGACAGGACACTTAAGAGAATTGCTTCCATCAGTCTGGAGTATGTATTGAAGAGCAGATTGGAACAAGATTGGAATAATAAGTTATTAAGCACCAAAGGAAGCTTTTTTTCTCTCCCAGCCACCAACAGAAATATTTTTTATTTACCTGTTCTATGAAGTCCCTTTCCTGTGACATGAAATATGATGAATGTAATGCATTACTCATATGCATTTTTTCACAGAAGAAAACGACATGCTATCTTTGGTATTTGTACAGGGTTGTGGAATCTGGTCCTTTCTTTGCCCAATCCCCTCAGCATTTTTTTTTTCTTCAAGCATTATACTTGCTTTTATTCAAAGCCTTCATGATCAAGTATCTTGTAACCATCCATCATACATGGTGTGCCTTGTGCACCACAAGATTTGATTTCGAAGAGGAATGGACATAGAGACATCAGGGACCAAGGCATCAGCGGATTTGGTGTCTGTCAGGGACCTGACCCTGATTCATAGATGGCATGGGTGTCTACACTGGGTACTAGAAGGGGATTTCTTTATGAGGATACAATCCTATTCACATGTAACATGTGACCCCATCTAGACCAGAGCACCCACCCATCTCAGTCCCCTGTACTTGAGAAACATTTTTGCTAACCATGACTGTGGTGACAGGAACGAGTTTAAGCTTTCTCTTCCTTATCAGTGGCTGTTTCCTGAAGAATTCCTCCCATTCTCTGCATTGACTGTCATGAGGGAGGGGACCAAAGGACTGCAGTCTATAGTGTAGGTATCTGGGAGCTGTGTGACAGGGAGGAGCTCAGGCAGAACAGCCGTCACTGAAAGGAAGCAGAGTACCAACAGCTGTGGGAAGAGCAGGGAACATGACAGGTTCTCAACTTTCTTATCATTGTCTGACCTGAATTTGTACATGTCTGTTTATATGTGTTCATATGTGTTCATAACACAAACTCACATGTTGTCATTCTCTTCCTGTACTTTCCTCTCCTTTCATCACCTCTCCTTCTCCCTCTCCCTCTCCCTCTCCCTCTCCCTCTCCCTCTCCCTCTCCCTCTCCCTCTCCCACTCCCTCTCC